TTCAAGAAGTCAGCAAGTCACAGACAAGAAATTACCACAGGAGAGTCATAAAGCAGAGGATAGCTGGCACAGGCCAGGCTGGATAAATTTGGCCTTTCTGGGGTTTTTGATAAAAACAAAACCAAACACTCAAACCCAATAGGAAGAAAACCTCTTTTGAAAAATAAAATTCTGGTGTTGTCTGGAGATATAACCAAATTCCACTAGTATAAACTACTGCTTTCTACCCAGTTTGTTTATACTGACCACATCCAACAGGAAGCACAAGAAAAGGCATTTGCTCTGCTCGTGCCCGTCTGGCTGCCCTGTCCCCATATCCAAGCCCCATCCTGAGCTCCAAAGGGAAACATAAGTACTGAAGTTCAGATCCAGGCATTTGGCACTTCAGACTTCTCTAGATCTTTAGGGAACAATCCTGCAAAGGTTACCCAGCATTTTATTTTGGGAATCCCACAACAGAAGGGATTTTATTTTAGGTGTACACTGTAACTCTGTAGCTGCTTCACACAGTGACTCCTTAGGATCATGAGATCTTGGGCACAATCTCTCCACCTGATTCACACATAACCAGTGAGGGTGAGTGGTGTCTTTGTCCAAACAGGTCTGTCAGTCTCAGCATTTCATCCTGACACATTTCACCTGGGCAGAACACACCTCTTTGCTTGGCTTCCTTCACTGCTCTAAGCAATTTCACTCAAATCACCAGGACCGCTATTAGGAGCTCACTGGTGAGATGTGGAACAGTGCAGCTGAGGTCTGCGGCTCCCTCAGCACTGACAACTTAAGGAGCCTGCTGGAGGTGAGGCATTCTGCACAGGTGTATTTAACAGAGAACTGTCTCTGATTTTTTTCTCTTTTCTTAGTGGTGAACTCCCAGGAAGCAAGCACAAAGAGAACAAATGAAAACTAAGCCAAAACATAATCACTCTAATTATAATAACTACTAAAAAGAGATGGTTCAGAGAGAAATTCCAGGAGCATTGAAGTCAGCTGTCAAGATCCAGCCCATCTCATTGAGAACTGACAAGCAAGTCAGCTGAGAGAGCAGTACCATGTCATAAAAGATGACCAGCTTGGAGGCTTGATGGTGGTGTTTTTGGTTATCTGTGAGTTTGTGGAGGTGGTTGTTTTTTTTTTTTTTTTTTTTTTTTTTCTACAAACTTGCAACAGAAAATTGATGAAGTGGAAAGAAAACTCATTCTCACCTGGATTATAAAGTACTCTAATGCAGGATTAACTAGAAAAAGAAATGGTGAATTAAGAAAATTTATGTTACTGAAATTTGGTAACATCTTATTTTCTACCTTTAAGCCAAGTAGTTATGTTAAAAGGTTTCCCAGATAACTTGTGAGGCGTTTGGAGCTGTGAATTAAATAGGAGCTTTGGATTGCCAGTGATTTCTCTTTGAGAATTTAAATTGTGATGGTGCTGGTAACCACTTTACTCAGGCTGCACAGCTGGTGCTTGCTGGTGTGTATATATATATATATATATATATATACATATATAAACTCTTTTTAATATATTAACTGATATTGTCTACTTCATGGTTCCAGTTCAGCAGCTAAAACAGTAAATTAAAAAGTAGGGAGAGCTATCAGTTAAAATGCAAGAAAAACTGGAAGAATAACAAGGAGAAATTAAAAAACGATAGAAGAGAATTGCTTTTACTTCAGGTTGCAGGCTGGAGCTCTGCATGGAGCACTCTCAGGAGGTTGCAGTAGGTAATGCTGACATCTGTGGGTGAGATGGAGAGCTGAGCTTAGGACACAAGTTGTTAAAACTGTCCTAACTAGAGCTTAGAAAGGCAAGCCACTTAGTGTGTGATCCAGATTTCTTCTGCTGCTGAGTACAGGGCTACCCAAGGGAAAAAGAGAAGAATTAAGGCAATTTTCTCACCACTTGGTTATGATAGGAGAATCAGGGAAAGTCCCTGTCTCTCTTGTCTTCTCCCTATCCCAACCCAACATCTATGGCTAGGCTATTCTGGCTGCTGTTGTAGCTGCTCTGGTAAAATGCTGACAGGGTATTTCCCTGGCTGTCTGGGAAAGTTTTCCCCATTTGTCTGGGAAAGTTTTCCATTTTGGGAGAGCAGGGCCCTGCTGTACCTCCTTGCTTACCCAATACTGCCTTTCTGAGACAATGCTCAGGCAGGAAGGAGATCCAAACCAAGCTTGCACAGTGGAACGTAAAATGCAAATGTATCAATAAAAATGTGCTGCTCTCCTCTGAAAGGACTAGCAACCATCGAGGTGTTTGGGGATTGGGTGTGAAGCTCTTATAAAGCCCCAAAAGAAAATAAATTCCTCTTAAGTGAAAATCTTGTGCCTGAGTCAGCTCTATTGCAGCCTCGTGGCTGTGGGTAACACTTCTCTTTCCTGCTCGATTTCTGAATGTGTCAATGAACTCCTCTTTGAGGAATGCCTCAGCCCTGGGGTCGCATCTCTTGGAGGTGCACCACGGAACTTATAACGGGTTTGCAGTAAGCTGATGCCCTCTGCTGGGTGCGAGGGACCAGAAACATGGAAATTCCCTGTTTCAGAGGGATAATGGCACAAAACTCTTTCAAACAGGCAGCTGGACAGTTTAATGGCAAGGGTTCACACCTCCCTACAATATTTTTTAATATATGTTGGAGGGCAGCTGATGATTTGAAATCTAATTGATGTCTCTTTGATTTGAAATCTAGTAACAGCAGTTCTGGTTATGGCTTCCACACTGGTGAATGTTAAATGCAACTTGTAATTAATGATCTTTGAATATATTAATTTCAATGAACTGTTTCTCTATCAGCTAGATTTAAAAGAATGTATAATTTGAAGCTGGAGAGAAGTGTCTGAAGGGGCCTTTAAATAAAGTTGCATTAGTGTGGTATTGGTTAGAAACCAGACTAAAGATGAACAAAGCTTTCAGAATGTTTGCTGAGGAGTTATTGGGAGAAAAGACCTGGATCATGAGGGACAAGCTACTGTATGTCAGCACACCCTATATTCCACTGAGAGATCAGCTGAGAAATGCTGGAACTGCATGTATTGAGACACAAATACTACAAAAGAAAACTGGGAATTTTAGGGGAAAAGAAATTTAAGCTGGAAATGTGTGTTTGTGCTTTGCCATGAGACTGAGAACGTGAAGGCCTTGATGCTGACTGCTGTAGCTGTTTCTGTCACACACCAAGGGATAGATGTCCACTTAACCTCTCTGGAGCTCTGTCACTATGGGATTTCAGTGAGAGCATTTGTGCAGCTGTTTATTGGTTCATTCTGGTTAATATGAGTAATGCCTATGAGAAAAGGCTAAAAGGAACATTAAAACAGATCTAAAATAGGTAAACATTGTCACCTTAACTGCTTTCTTTTCCTCCTTTAGAAGGTTTAATTCTGACTTCTGGCTTTACAAAATTACAATTTTTGTGTAGGTCTGTCCACTTCCAGCTCTAATGCCTTGAATGGTATGAGATTCAAAAGTTAGAAGCTGTCTTATGTTAGTCACTGAAATAATTAATTGTATTTATTGAAAGAACCCAAATTCATGCTGTGTCTAAGGATAAGGCTATAACATACTCTCAAAGATGCCTTTTTGTAGCATAATGCTGAAAAAGTTAATATAAAGCTTCTCTGAGTTAATTACCTGACTGCACTGTGCTGTTGAGTATTTAAAACAAATAATCCCAAGGGATGTTTAATTGGTTTTAAATGTTCAGCTTCATGAAGGGGCCACTATCCCTTTGTGATTGTCTCTGGTCTGAGCACTGGTTTGTGCAGCAACTCTCACAGGGTCAACAGAACAACCCTCACTGACTTTTGAAGATGTTAAATTTGCCCATTTTCTAAACTTGAAGTTTGTTCTGTGTGAGAAAGTAAGTGTTAAGGACTGGCTTGGTTTTTTACACAATTCTGGAATTTCTGTTCAATAAACTCAAACTGATTCATGGGATATGCACTCTTGATAAAACAGATTCTTTTACTGTCATTGCTTTTTGTCCCTTAAATATGTAAACTTTGCCAAGGCATAAATTCTTGCACTTAATATACCAAAAGGAAAGTTTTATTAAGCCACTGAGGTACACCTACAGTTGGTTTCACTGCATGCAGAGCTTAAAGTGGTTATGAATTTTGGATTTTATGGACAGTAGTTGTTGTTTCCTTTGGCTCAACTGAAATAATGTCCTGCTTAACAGGCTTAGGTGAGTAATTCTGGCAGATGAGGAAGTATATGTGCTACTGAGAGTCACGTGCTCACTCACTTTAGATGATGACAAAATAGTTGTGTGGTGTTTATAAAAACAGCAAAAAGAAATTCATGCTGTAAGCAGGTTAAATCTAACAAGATGGTGAAGTTTGACTTGTAACAATGTCTTTTAAGAGAAAAATGGTTGTGAGGCATATAGAACTGTATAAAAACATGCTGAACTTAGTGACACACTACAGCCTAGTCATGTTAAGGAAATACAGCTAAATGGAAATGTCCTAAATCTGTTAGGAGAACATGTGAACAGCCAACACCAAAATGACTTTTTTTTTTTTTTTTTACCAGAAAAAAAACAAACCGTAAGTGTCCTAAAGAACAGTACTCCCTATTTATATTGTTAGAAAACAAGTGTTTTATCTGGGAAAGTAACCACCTGCTAGTGCAGCTGTAAAATGAGAGGCTGAATGTATTAACTTTGCACAAACTTAATAGAAATGGAGCAATACTCTTCTAATAAATGGATGCTCTAGGCAACTTAAGTTACTGGTAGTTAGTGAATCCAAAATCTGGCTGTGGACCTGAAGGGGTTACACTCATTACACATATGGAAGCCTATTAAATTTATTAACAATGGGCACTGCCAACTCTGGTCTAATTAAAACATATGTAAATGACATGAATCAAACAGCTTTTCCCCTCTCACTCTCCTGGAAGTTACCTGTTTATATTTGCTTATGGATGAAACAGTGAGAGACATCCACTGCAACAGCCAATGCTCTGACCAAAAAAAAAAAAAAAAAGAGTCTGATTATTTTTACAACAGATTTAATAAAAATGTAGCATCTCAGTGTTTATACTCCAGCAGGACCAGCAGATGTCAGCAGAACTCAAAGCATAACTTTGGATTTTGGAAAGGCAACATTCATGACACTTAGCAGAACTGAAAAAGTTCTGCTGAGCACATTGCAAAATTATAAAACTTTACCAAGTAAGTCTGCAAGAACTTAAAGTATTATTGGAAAAATGTGACCTAACAAACATGCAGATCTTCCAAGTCATCAAAGAATAGGAAATTATACAAAACACAACAAAAATACAAAGAATAAAAATGTTACTAGAACTTAATTTATAATATCTTTTCAGTAAGTTTTTTTATAGTGTAAAACTTTAATATTATGAAGACAGAGAATGTATCAACCGAAGATACTGTCCATTCATCTGGGTTTTTCTGATAACAGTCTAGATAATTGGAAACAGAAACTCAAGTTAAAAATCAGTAAAAAAAGAAAAAAACTCAAGAGAGGGATGCTGAAATACTGGTTCAGTCCAATCACAGACTGATAACAGACAAATTATTTTAATTTTGTTCTACAGAAAAAGTAATAAGTAATACTTTAACACAATGCCTTGACAGCTTAATTTCAATATTTTAATATGAATTCATATGAATTAATATGAATTCATATCCTTATGAATTCATAAGGATAATCTGACCTCAAATCCCACTAACTGGGATGAGACCTGAACAACAAAATTATTTTGACTCCTTAAGTGAACAGGATTGGATTTATCAGGTGTAGCTTCAATACTCTATAGAAGACCCAGTATTCACTGTTAATTCTAGAAAGAGAGTTCTATTAACACTGCATGTAAATTCTTTGAGAACTTTCACAGCATTTCACATAAAACAGATTAAAACCCATGAGAGCCTGAAACTGAGAAGGAGAAATGAGGAATACACAGAAACAGTGCATCCTATAAAACACTGAATGAAAGAACAGTGCACATCTCAGGATAGATGACATTAGAATTCAGCACCTTGTACTGTTGAGTGAGATCCTACCTGCACGGCTAAGAAGCCTAACTGCAGTGCAGAACTCAAGTGTGAAAAACAGCAGTATGGTTATGTCCATAACCACACTGAAAATGACTGTGAAAGCAAGCACACCCATCATGTGGGTCCTGGCAAGTCCCAATAGCTTCCATTCAATTAAATGCTGCTCATGCTGTGTTTAACCAAAGCGTGGCCCACCCATCCAGGATGGAATAATGCACGGGTCCCCTACCCAGCGTGCTTGTTCCTGATGATCTCCCCTCCCTCGATCTCGATCTGCTCGTACAGCCACTTGCGGTCGCAGCGACACTCGGTGCCGCACTTGTTGGAGCCGCACTTGGGGCAGGCATAGAAGCAGCCCAGGCAATCTTCATCCAGGCAGTCACACAGGTCCATCCCGCTGTACAGCAGCAGCCCCTGGCTGTCATACACCTTACTCTTGGCTGGGATAACTTGCCTGTACAATGGAAAACAAACAGGTATTTTCCGTGTTAAAATCCGCTTATTACTGATACCAAGGTGCTGAGATTTTTTAGGCCAGAAGGAAAAAGCGAACTTCCTGGAAAGGAAGTTTTCCTTTCATCTTAACCTGTGTTTTTTGATGAAGTTTTCCTTTCATCTTTAACATGAAAGGTGTGTACAGCTTTCCAGTGGCTAAAAGCTTTGCATCACTTCTGTGAATGCCTCCAGTGCAAAGCCAGGACAGGAGGGGAGTTTGCTTTCTACAGGTGTTCACTTTAGCCCTGTTCATTTCAAAGATACGCGTATCTTACTGTTTTTGGTAACAATTGTAATTGTATCTCCACTCTGTGCCCAAACTAAGCAGAAGAAAGAGAGGCATAGGGAAAGATGTGTAGTTGGTGAGCAGCACATTTAGTGTCTGTTTCTGTCTGGTACAGTTACACTTAATGTGATACAACTACAACGCATTAATGTGATATTTCTTGCGTATTTTGACAAATAGAAAATGTCTTTTTTTTTTTTTATCAGTCACATTAGAAGGTTGTAACTTGTTATCTCGTATTATTCAATTTGGATATTAACTTTGTTTTTCAAAAGGAAGGCAAGATCCTAACTTGCACACTTGTTTACCAAGCGTAACTACCGAGTTTAAAAAAGATGATGATCAATATTTTCAGTGTAGCCTACTTGCTCTTAAAGTATTAAAATTTATCTTATTATCAGGATTTTAGTTTATGCATGTATTAATAGCTACATCTGTGGTCTGTGTAGTATTGTGCCTGACAAACACCTTTTTGTGTTTGCCTGAAATATGAACTGTAAGCTAACATTTTATCTTCTCTTTTATTTATCTCAGGAATGAGATGGATCATCAACATCCCTAAAACCAAGAACCCAATCCATACACACACAAACATCTACACAGATAATGTTACAGGCTGACCATTGAGGCTATTCTATTTTCAAATGGAAGTTAATGTAAATACAACTAACAAATTACCTGTCTGAATTAAACACTGAGATTTTTGTTTGCCTTCTTTTTTCCCTTTTACTGGTCTCTGGAGTGAACTCCGTTTGTCGTCCTGGGTTAGCAAACTGGAGTGACTTTAAAGCCTTGGCTGTACGCCCCTGAAGGAAGAGAAAATGTCACTTAATTATAAATACAAATTAAAAAAAGATCCAGTCAAGGGTATTGTAATAACCTAGATGAATTCTTGACCTATGATTCTATGATTTCCCAGGAGAAACAGCTTAAAATCTTTATGCTGGAGAACTATTCCTGTATCTGACCCCAGCAACACAAGCTTTGTAGTAGCAGTTTTAATCAATGCTTTCAAATCATCCTCCTAATCACACTGACATATAATTGAAAATCACAGCAAGGGAACAGCTCCTAGGATGCAACTCCTCTTTGCTCAGGGTGCATACAGGCAAGCTCTTGCTGTTTTGGTTGCCCACACCACAGGTTCCGTGTGCACAGCTGGAACTCTGCACCCAGCAAGGCACCAGCCTCACTCCAGGCTCAGCCCCTGGAGAACTGTTCTCCCACGCCCGTTCACCAGTGCCCCTGACCAAATGCCACGGCCTTCACAGCCCAGACACCACAACAGGAGTACACTTAATGCCCCTCACTGCAGGCTCATTTTCTAACGAACTGCAAGAGAAACACCTTTCTTTTGCTTTTAACTGAAGAGACATCTTTAGAAGCAACTTCTGCAGTGCTTGGTTTCAAGCACAGAGTTTGTTGTTTGCCAGGCTTGAATAACAGCTTAAAATACCAGCAGCAGCCTGGTATTTACATGAATTTATAAGAAGACACAATTTTTCAAAATTTAGAGGCCGTATTATTTAATTAGAGAAGATTTTTAAAGTCCTCCAAACAAAGGTTTAAATACAGTAAACTCCTGTACATCTAAAAGACTACATCCTTTCTTATTTCTATGAGAGACAAATTTAATTTCTTTACATAGTAGACTCTAATAGCTTGCAGAGTACAGAGGGGATGGGAAAGCTGATCCATATACATACATCTGGATCCAGCCTTCTCCTTTGTCGCTCCTCAGGTTCCACATCCACACTTCCATTTATTATCTGCATACATTTGGGACAAAGCTTCCAACCTGGAACAAACTGCCTTCCAAACTTGGCACTTAGAAAAGCTGCATCGTCTAAGTCAATTGCTCGCAAGTTTTTCTTTGATAGTTTTCTGTGGATGTTGAAGGGGTCACAACAGGATTTCTGTAAGTCTTCAAACCGTTCAATGTAAATTTTGGCATGGTGGAGGCAGATTGTGTTGCTCTCTGACAGGGTTATCCCAGTCCTGAGCTGAAGCAGCAGCAGGTCAGATGAAGAGATGTCTTGTTTGGTCTTGAAGCCGGTGTGACGGGTGTAATAGGTCTTATGGCATTCATTGGTGGCTTGGAGCTGAACTCCAACTGAACAAGGATCCATTTTACTTTATCAGAATGTCTCTCATCTGTTTTGCCCAAAATAAATCTTTGAAGCCTTTAGGAGTTTCTGTGAAGATCACCCTAGAGAAAGCATTAAAATCCATCAGATTTGCAATGCAAACTTTTATCCATAAGTCTGACATACTGGATGTAAGTAATTTAAAAAACATGTAAAGAAATTATAGCCTTCTAGTCTAGATAAAGCTAAAAAGATAATAGATTTATTCTGGAATCAAACCATGTATTTTCTATTCCTTTCAGAGGCTTTTTTTTTTTTTTTTTTTTTTAAAATAATTATCTATTCAAAATTTTTTTTTGCATGACTGTCTCAAAAGCAATCTGGGAGCAAGGTACAAAGTCACACAGCAGCCTGCTCTTGTCATTGGTTTTCCTGGGGACCCCCTCTCCTGGGACAATCCCTGCCAGCCAAGACCTGACTGCCCACAGAAAGGGACTGCTGATGGCCACACATTTTACCCATCCTGTTTCCAAGGAGCTTCTAAAGGGGAAAAAAGCTGCAGAAGGTGGGCTGCACAGGCTGGCTGGAGTCAGTCAGCAATTCCCACCCAGCAGCACTTTCCATGTGTATCAGGTGCAGGCCAACACCCTGGATCAAACCTGAGCCTTTCCAAGAACCAGGCTGGGCTATGCACCAAGATGGGCAGCTCCAGTTGTGTGCATTTTTGGGGTCATGTGGCCTTTGTGTGCAGCCCTCTGTTGGGCAGTTATTTCATAGTTATACACTAACATCAAACCAAATTACCAAATGCCAAGTGAGCTACTGCAGACTGATGTTGGAACCCTGGTTGCTGAGAATTTCAGACTTTCTATACTGGCAGGCACTGGCCCCCAGGAGAACTCTGCATGTGACCTGAGGCTGTGGAGAAACTTCTAAAATTGAATGACAGAACTGGGATTGCGGGTGTGGAGTTTGAATAGTGGTGTAGTTTGAATCACATGGTGAAAAACTCAAGAGTTTAAGGTTTTAGAATAGGGCAGTGGCTGGTCCTTCTCCACGGGTTTGGGTGGTTTTGTGTAATTGGATAAAGCAGTCCACATTGGTTATTGGGTTAAAAGTAACAATAATTTAGATGTCACACTCTGTTTGTTGCTAGCCCAGTGATGGCCCTAACACACCACAGCCTGAGCCCATCTTGCACTATTTTCACCTCAACATAAAAAGAAAGGAGTAATTTGCTCTCAAATCCTCCAAGAACCTTAATTACAATGAGAGTAGCTTAACTGGTAGGTTTATGTTCACCTATACCCTGTTCTGCAAAGGCAAAACGCAGACAAATGGAAAAGCAGGGTACTGGTTGTGTCCGAGAGGGAGTCAAACTATTCACAGTGGCTGGTGTGTGAATGATTTTTAAAATCTTTTTTAAAAGACCACCTATCAAACTTCACCATCTTAGTGAGCCAGCTCTAACGACAATCTTTTTTTGTTAGCTGCACAAAGTTTGTGTTCCAAGCCAAGGTAACTGGAGCCGTAAATGAGCAAAGTTCACTACAGCTGAATTAACATTTTAACAGCATTTAGGCAATACTAAGTAACTTTACTCGAAAAAGTCTGTTACATCACGCCTGCTTCAAGTGCTAAGGTGCATTTTTGACCGATTCCTGTGTGTGAGGTGGGGCTTGTGTGCATGGCTGAAACTCACCACATCAATAGACAAGTGACAGTCTGAATTTTCAAAATTAGCACATGGATTTTAAGTCAGGACTCTTGGACCATGTTCTTATAAGAAACCTAATTTGTCTCCTAGGGGAAAAAAAATCCCCAAATAATTATTACAACGTCAGGTATCTCTTCTACCCGCTGACTATGCTACGTGGTATTCCCTACATTAAACTGCAGAACATCTCACGTCTGTCACCTGGCTTTGTTCAAACGACAGTACTGCTGACGGAACTTAGGGATCGCTTAACGCGCAGCAATTCTCGCTGGCAGCTTCAGCGCGTTCCCTCCGGGCGGCAGGAGCACGCCGCTGCTTTTCCTGCCAGCTCACCGGGGCGGAAGGAGCAAAGCCAGGCCCCGCGGCCCGCAGGTGTGTGCCCCTGCCGACGGCCGCCCGGCGCTGCCGCAGCCCGAGCGCTGAGGGGCCAACAGCGGCGAGGAGGAACGGGCCCCACACGGGCCTTCCAACGCCCGGGCACAGAGCCCGGCCCCTCGGGGCCGCCCCGGTACCTCCCCGCGGGCTGTGTGCCGCCGTGCCGGTACCTCTCCGCGCTGTGTGTGCCGCCGTGTGGGCTCCCGGCCTGCGCCCGGTCCCTGCGCGCCGCCGGCGGGCGGCGGCCATCAGCGGCGGCTGCGCCCCCAGAGAGCGGGGCGGGGGCGGCACTTCCGGCCGGCGGGCGGCACTTCCGGCCGGCGGGCGGCGCTTCCGGCCGGCGGGCGGCGACAGCGGCACCTGGCGGCGCGGAGCCCGGCCTCAGGGGCCCGGTGTTCGCCGGCCTTTCCCAGTGTTCCCCGGCCTTTCCCGGTGTTCGCCGGCCTTTCCCGGTGTTCGCCGGCCTTTCCCGGTGTTCCCCGGCCTTTCCCAGTGTTCCCCGGCCTTTCCCGGTGTTCGCCGGCCTTTCCCGGTGTTCGCCGGCCTTTCCCGGTGTTCCCCGGCCTTTCCCGGTGTTCCCCGGCCTTTCCCGGTGTTCCCCGGCCTTTCCCGGTGTTCGCCGGCCTTTCCCGGTGTTCCCCGGCCTTTCCCGGTGTTCCCCGGCCTTTGCCGGTGTTCCCCGGCCTTTGCCGGTGTTCCCCGGCCTTTGCCAGCGCTTCCCGGGGCCGGTGCTGAGCGAACGCGATCGGCGCGGCCGTTGAGCGGAAGGTCGCGGCCTGCTGCAGGCTCCGCCGGCACTGACCGGGCTCGGGGCCGGACCGGGGCTCGGGAGTGCCCTGTGCTGTACCGGGAATGCCCTGTGCTATCCTGGAATGCCCTGTGCTATCCCGGAACGCCCTGTGCTATCCCGGGAATGCCCTGTGCTATCCTGGGATGCCCTGTGCTATCCCGGAACGCCCTGTGCTATCCTGGGATGCCCTGTGCTATCCCGGAATGCCCTGTGCTGTACCGGCAGTGCCCTGTGCTGTACCGGCAGTGCCCTGTGCTATCCCGGGAATGCCCTGTGCTATCCCGGGAGTGTCCTGTGCTATCCCGGGAATGCCCTGTGCTATCCCGGGGGTGTCCTGTGCTGTACCGGGAGTGTCCTGTGCTGTACCGGGAGTGCCCTGTGCTGTACCGGGAGTGCCCTGTGCTGTACCGGGAATGCCCTGTGCTATCCCGGAGTGCCCTGTGCTGTACCGGGAAGCCCTGTGCTCTCCCGGGAATGCTCCGTGCTATCCGGGGAGTGTCCTGTGCTGTACCGGGAATGCCCTGTGCTATCCCGGAGTGCCCTGTGCTGTACCGGGAAGCCCTGTGCTCTCCCGGGAATGCCCTGTGCTATCCCGGGATGCCTTGTGCTGTACCGGGAATCACTTGTGCATCCCCCAGGTCCCTCAGACTGTATTCCACACCTCACCCTAACCCTGAAATCAGTGCTTCAGGAGATACCCAGTGTTCTAAAGCATTGGAAGCTTTAATATATGGGAGTAACAGCCTGTAGGTTGTTCCATTTGCTGTTTCTCCACTGACCACTAAAGAAAACCATTGTAAATTCCATATGTTAAGTTATGCAGTGGCTCAGTGATGACAGAGAGACTGTGAAGTGCTGTCATTCAAGAAAGCCTCAGTAAGGCTGCTTCTGCTGACTTGTGTGGCTTAGGATGAAATATGTGGAGTTAATGAAGGGGAATAATTCATGAAGGAGATAACTTGAGATACAGGTTGTGACATCAATTTGTATTACATAAATATAGGAAGAGCAGTGAGGTGTATTCACTTTTTCACCGTTAGTGTCAATGTGTGAGGCTCACTGTGTCAGGCTGGTTTCAGGTTATTTGGGAATTGTAACAAACATGCCAGCCATGGATTTAGACTGGTTTTGGTTGATCACAGTAGCTTTCCTCTGTAAATGGAATGGTGCCTTAATGAGGGAGAGCTTTAGGATTTAGTGTAAAAGGATTCTAGATGAAGATGAAGGGGAACTTGAACAGGAGCTAGACTGGGTGTGGTGGGAATATTCTCATGTATTCTGGTGATACTGGGTGAGTAGGGGCAGTGTGTGGTGATTGGGAGTGGGGCTGATCCTCATCCCCAGTGGGTGCAGCTGTGCAGGACAGGTGAATAAAATTGCAGGTGAGGAGCCAGGGAGTGCCCAGGTGTGCTGGGCAAGCACACAGGGCCCAGAGGCACACAGGGGCAGTGCATCAACAGGAGGGGATGAAAGGCTGGGCTGAAGAATAGAAAGATCAGCTACTTACAGCCTTCTGCTGAGGTGTGCTGTTGCTCTGTTTTGGTTGGAGCTTTCTGCAGTTGCATGGTGACACTTTGTGGATCGTGGCCATCTCAACTGTGACCTTTGCTGCCACAGGTATAATTTAAATTTGTTTCTCTGCCCATGCAGGCTGACTTCATATGCCATTTTCACTCATGAGGACATCTGAAATAGGAAATATGTGCGTCAAGGTAATTTTTAATGGATTTTGTGTTGAACAGTAGTAGAAGTCCTACTGTCTCTAGTTTGTGTCTGCTCACTAAGTCAGTGATTCATGTGTCCCTCAGTTCCCCCACATGTAATAACTGAGTAAAGCAGTATTGTGATACATGATTGCTTAAAAAATATTGTGGTTTTCCATTGCCCTCATTTCCAGACTTAAAGCAGAGACAGATTTGTTGCTGACCTGCAAAAAACTTTGTGATAGACTCAGAAGAAAGGTGTTTCTAACTCTCTTCAATATAGTGTAAATTCTAGGTAGCTCATCTCAAATTTCAAAGGTGATCAAGTAATAATTTTTCATTGCTTTACCTGTCATTTGGACATTGTTGAGCATTATTTTAAGATCTTACACCTTATCCAAAAAACCTCCCAGAGATTCTGTTCACCTATGTGGTATCCAGTTAGTCTGGTCTAGAAATCAGCAAGATACTGGAAAGTGTCAGAGATTTAATTGCTTTTTCAGTTTAAGCAAGTTTGAGGATGCTGTTAAAATGTTTTTTATTAAAATGAGACAGGCTAAGGTATTCTGCTGATATAGAATCACTATCTCATAAAGTGTTTTTTTTTTTTTTTTTGAGCTTTAGTGTCAAATGGAAATAAAATGTTGATATTATTATATTTGGCATATTTGGTTTAAAAAAAAACCCTGAATATAATTGTTGTTATATATTTTTGCTACCACCAGGGATCCTATTACTTTTCTTCAAGGCAAACGTTTCTGTCTAGTTCCTGCAAAATGTGCTGGAACACCAAGTAGGCATAGATGTTGTCTGCTTTGATTTTCTCTATGATTTTCTTATAACATATATCTGCTTTTTTAAAAACATGAAACCAGAGATGTAGAAAGCAATTGTTGCAGAGGAAAAGGCAGAAAAAAAAAAATGATGGTTTTTGTACGGAGCATTTAAAAATAAATTGAAAAAGGAAAATAAGTAGCCTACATGAGCTTTTCCTTGTGTAGAAAATGTGATGCCAAGTGAGGTATTTTATCTAAAAGTCATCAAGTAATGTTACAAAGAGAGCTGTTTATTTCACACCAAATCTTTAAGTCATGGAAAGCCTGGGTAATACCATAAAACTCATTTTTAAAATCTTAAAAATTACCTTAGCATGCTAATAAGTTTTATTTTGTTAGATATGGATTTAATGGCATGCATGTACTAGCTTAAATTCCTCTGTGGCCTAGTTGTTCTGGTTTTTTTATTTTAATTTGGTAATGTTATAAAGAGTTCTGATTATTTAAAAAATTTGCATTTACGTTTTGGCACACAACTGTTGAATATGTGAGTTTGTATTATGTAGAATTTTTGGGGTATCTAGAAATAATAGAAATTCTGTCAGGCTGAAAAAAATTGAAGTCCTCCTCAGCACTTTGATTATTGCTGTCTCACAAAGAGAATCCTCTGCTTTACTGGCACTGACCTTGGGATGCCTCTTTGGGAATCTTCTGCCCTTTCCAGGCTGATTTCGAGACAGTCCTTATAAATTTATGGCCTGGCACATTCTCTGCTCAGTGAGATCTTTGTGTTGAGAAGGATTTTGGCTGCTGCTTTCAGCCTGCTCCTCTTGTCTGAGCAACTTCCCAGATGATGCAGCATCACCCTGGTGCTATTCTGTGTTCTCTGCTTTGGGGCTGAAGGCAATGAGCTCAGAAACTTGGATGTCAGCTGTCCTTTGCAATTGGTGCAGCCACTCTCTGCCAGTTTGGGACACAAGCCCAATGTTTGGGAGTTTCGTTTACCCGTCTCTAAAGGTATTGAATTTATTTCTGATTCAAAAAGCAGGGCCATTACTAAAAGCAATCTCATTCACTCTCCTTCTAGGCACTTTCAGAGCAGCTAATCCTTGCAGACCTGAGACAGTCAATGCTTACTCACTGGTAACAGGCTAGGGTGCTCAAGGAATTTAAGATTTGTCTTTTCCTAAGAAAAATGCCCTCTCTGTGCTTGGCTTGATGGAAAATTAAGGTTGTTAATCTGACAGCTGGTGAAGATTCAAGAAGGGTCTACTTTTTTTTTTTTAATTGGTCCATGCTGAATCATTTGTCTGGGTGTTACTTCTCCCCAGTGCACCCTGATGTCCCAGGGAGCAAAGAGGTCACAAATAAATCATGTGTGAGTGAGCTTTGTCAGTGTGAGTGTGGGTTTATGGATCACGCAGCACTCCAGGAAGCCTTCCACGATTTTTACCTGTTAAATAGTCGGGCTTGATTCATGGTTACTCAGCATTTCTTTTATGCTGTTTGCCATTAAATAAGGCTGCCTTAATTGAACACCAAAGCTGGGGAGAAGAAACAACAGATGAGCATTTAGGTCAAGAATTGTCAGTTCTGTAGCTGCCACCAGCCAGTGTAAAGCACTTTAGTTAAGCCCTAATTTTGGGAAACTCATCCAGCAAAATAGCTAGTAATGATTATTATTAGCCATTTTCTGGAAACTCTTGTGTATGGTATTGTCTGTAAAGGAAGATGTTTTACTGTGTTATTTCTATTAAAGGAAAACATTTACTCTATTGACATGGCTATACTGGCATAACACTGCTACTATGGGTAGCTGGTGCATACTATATTTAAAAAGGATATTTTCCAGGGAAAATCATATCTGTCTTAACAACCACCAGTTGGTTATCTGATTGAGAAGGTCCTAGGCAATATTACTTGGGGAAGTTGAATGGCTTGCGGAAATCCTGAAGCAGACCAGTAGCAAAAAAAGAATAGAACCTCACAAACCTCAGGGTAGGCTTGAGGTCTCCTGTGCAAGGTTTGGTTG